ATATATATATATATATATAACCAGCCTGGAGCTTAACAAGTCAAAGCACATCTAAACTAACAAAATGCTACACCGAGTAGCCTACACAAAATCAGCTCCTGCCACCACTTGCAGCCCTGCTACTACTCTCCTGCCTATCCCTGCTATGCTCACATACACAGTATGATCATCGTAGTCTAAACCACATGGAAACATGCAAGGGTAAGCTAGTGAAAATAACCAACATATAGTATATATATAAGCAACCTTCAACTTAACAGAACCATCATCAGGTTCAACATACAATACATAATAACACACAACTCAATCACAGCTTCACAGCATAACAACACATATACAACTCACATCAACATCAATTAAACACATCAACAGCTTATGCGTCGTCACGCATTTCAACTCGGAGATCTCCTACAACATGGGTGAGTAGTTTAAGTGGCTAGGTCCTACCGAATCGACAACAAAGAACTTTTTTTGGCTTGCTAGGTAAATAGAAAATTTGGATGCCAATCCACAACATGATAACGATTTCTCAGACTTTGCCACTTAAATAAGGAAGTATAGTACTATGTCAGGATAGAACAACTGGGTTTTAGGCCTACCATGACATTAGCTAGCTCAACTAAGCCACCTATGGAATTAGCCTACCGAATATCCTCCAAATACTACAACCCTCCGATACTCAGTTAGGAACTAAGTTCCTGACTTCGTACTTTACTCGATTGGCCACTTGTAGTCGGTATAACTTGATCTGGCCCCTATACCGTGGGCGCTTTGTACACGTGTGCCTCGACCTTGCCCACACATGGGACCAACTAAGTCCTAGAGGAGAACAAAACAATGTCCACTCCAAGGGACAACTTCCTAAGGAGGGTTTTCAACAAATTGGGCTCTCTAAGCACCACAACTTTCTCAATCCACACAATGGGATAAGTAACTTCAAAAAAACATCTCCTCTAGTCCTAGTGATCAACATCTCATCATCACAGCATAATATTTCTAGGCTTTGATTTACTATTATATTAATT